ATTTTTACGATTGTTCGTTTGCTTACCTATTAATACGACTATACCGCGTTCCTAGATCCAAGATGGCCGAAGTTAAAAAATAATCTTACGTGTTGTCTGGCTATCTTTATTAGTTTTGACTTTAATGGCTAGAAAAGGACTAAATTAATAGGAAACATTAACGTTTTATCTGAATATTACGTACTTGTAGCGTAACAAAGATGATGAATTAGTTATGTTTAGGTGCCTGCTTCAGTGTTTATTAGTTCTTGCGGTATATGGGTTACTGTTTCTAATGCCCACCTTACTTACTTTACTTACGACCAAACGTACATTACTTACGTTTTCACCAGGATCTCTACAACTTTGAGATTTGTAAATACGTTCGGAAAAAATATGAAGACTTGTTGACATACAAGTCTTTGTGGTTGATGTCAACCGTGACCATGGGACCTACCTGTAAAGGACCTGAAACGTTGGTTTAAACGAAAACACATATACGTGATTTAAATTTGAAAAATAGTTTCATTTACTATGTGTGTAGACAACCTGAACTTGAAATGTTCTAAAAGTTCGTTATCTGAATAGGCCCTACTACGAATCGAAGCCGGAATCTTTACCGCTCAAAATGCTACTGCATCATCCAGGTCACCGCATCATTATCATCATTATATCGACTCTAGTTCTAGCTTCATCACCTATTTCGAAATTCCTGCAATTCATTTGACGGTGGTGGAATTTTTAGAAACTAATTTCTTCAACGGCGCTGCCATTTAAGTGTAACTTGTCAAACTTTAAAAATCACAAACTTAACAGGGTGGTAATTAATTAATTGCTTGTAATTATTACTCGCAGTTATGTGAATAAGCTACCTACTTATTAACACTGCTATAAAAAAAAGTCGAAAGGTATAATGAGAAAACATAAAATTTTTATGAAGCATTTGTTTTTATGGACTATTTTCATGAATATTGTATAAGATTAAATAACCAATTTACTTCACAATGTTGATATTAGATAAGCACACTTATACCTTATTATTGTTATTTCGGTCATTTATGTTACCGTTCCCGCATCTCGCATGATAAATTTTAATAATAAATGTGACTGGCAGTATTTCCCGGCAATGGCACAGTCGGCTGAGGGTCAAAGATTCAGATCCAAGTGAACGTGCCATATTGAACGGAACCACTTTCAGCATTTGTACTGAAAGCGACCTTATTATTGTTAGAGTGGCCAGAGAGGGGCAAGCGTTCTTAACG